TATATATATATATACTCAGCACTCGTAATGTCTCTTAATATTTTATTCAAAATCTCGACATAATTAATAATTAATATTCAATTATTTATTTTCTTTAATTCTTTAATATTTCAGGAAAAAATTATCTTTACCGTTGCACCCTGTATATCACAGGAAACTGTCCAAAATTCACGTCACAGTAACTGTAACAATTTGAATCTTAATTTCATCATTTATGATTTCTCTTTTATTTCTTTCTTTTTTAATGACATTCCTCAAAATCGGAGGAAAGCTGATCTTCCTCACAAGATCAATTATTGGCATTTCTCCTTTGCAACGCGGCCGCGAGATCTTGTCTGAGGGCAGCTTGTTGTCTTTGATCAGCTAAAGATTGAACAGACCTTAAACCATTTACAATATCTTTTGTTTTCCCAAAGTAAATTTCATTTAAAGTATTTCGAATTTTATTTTCCATGTCTTCAACCATGCGACCAATATTGGCAATATGTGGAGAACTCTCACTTATTTGGGCATCTTGTTCAACCTAAGAAAACAAATTTTGTAAAATAATGTATCTCCAAATAATTTTAATTTTACTCACTGAATGCTATATAAAAAATAATTAAAAAACCTCTTTAATTAGAAACAGTATCAAACCTGTCTTGTAAGGCTTCCACCAAGATTCATTGTTCCAGAGCCATGTTTATTAGTTTGTAACCAAAGCATTGCAGTAGAAGTTAATTTATAATGTGCAATTCTTCCATTAGATTTTTCTTGAACTTCTACGACATGAATTGAATCCCAGCAACCTTTAATTTTTTTTGAACCATCACCTGCTTTTTTAATCAATATTACGGCTGCAAAACCATGATCCAAATCCCATAAATAGACAGAAGAAACTCCACCTTCAAAGTAGAGTTCTCTGTATTGATCAAATGCATGATTTGCATCTATCTCTAATTTTCTAAGTCTTTCAGAAGGCATAGAGCCATCTTCTAATGGTGGATCATATGTATTACTCCACGGAGATCTAGAATATAATTTCATAATATAAAATATTTTAATTGCCATATATATTTATTTAATATTAATAAAACTACATAGCAACGTAATATTAATATGGCACAATACTTTTTCGCAGTTACCTATAGGAATCGCCATCTCTGTTGTAGTCACAAAGTAAATAGTCCTTTCCAGATTCTTTATCTTTTGCAATTTTTAAGGGCTGATCGACAGAGGATAAAAGATCTTCACAAAGAGATGGCACAAGATCTATTAAATCACTTAAATTTTTTTCAATTTGCTGAGGTGGTAATCTTCTCATTAAATCTAATGCACAATCCATTTGCTGTTCCGTCTTTGAAATTAAAATTAAATTTAATTTTTAATTTTGCAATTAGCTGAATTATTTTTTTGTAACTTTAATTATCTTAGTAAATAGAATTTTATATGTTTATAACAAAACTGACAAAAATTTAATACATATTAATTTCATTTTAGATCTCAAATTTCATATTTTTAATCAGGTACAATATAACAGTCCAAAAATTACATAAAATTCAATATAAATAATTAACTTTCACTAATTTCAACAAAAAGACAAGAAAGAAATGTTAAAAAATATTTATTAATCTTAATATGATCTGTAAATAAGATTCATGTATGTTAACAAAACTTATTCAGTTCACAAGAAATATATAAATTTATTCAAATAACCGAGTAACCAATTCTTTAAATAACTGAAGAATTAAAATTCTCATGTTACTGGATAGCGCCATTTTGACGTTTGCTATATTTTAGGTTACATAAAAATTTTTCTTAAGATATTAGTACTATAAAGGTATTCTATATAATAAATATTTTTCAAAATTTTACTTCAAATAAAAGATTATACAAATTTTACAAAATTGGACTTTATTATATTGAACGTCATTCAGTAAGTGTTAATATTGGTTTTAGTTAACGTCGTTAACGAAGAAATATAATATTACAATAGTAGATTAAAAACATTAAACTCACCATTTTAAATGATTGAAGAATTTGGTGAATGTCAATCAGACCATCAATTAATAAAAATTACAAAACCAATGAAAAATTTATTGGAACTGTTTATTCTCTGACCCGCATTCAGTCACCGAAAACGAATATTCAAGGGGCGTGTCAAGAATACCGCTGATTGGCCAATAGACAATACAATGCTATCAACTTAATATGAATGAAAATTTCAGAACATTTCTTATGTAACCAATAATAAAATATTTATAATAAATTATCTCGTGAAATAATAGTTATTTCTTATTCGTGTGTAATTGAAACTAAATTTCGAATTATAATGCAATATATCTATTACTTTCGACAGAATACATATTAAAAAATTAGATAAAATTAATTTTGGGTAAAATTTTTTAGATAGAATTAATTAAAATTTACTATATGTAATTTATTAAATTAGAAATAATGTTGTTTAAGTTTAAATTATAAACCAAAATATTAAATATTCTTTTTTCTTAGGATTTGTAAAAAATATAGAAAATGATGTTCAAATTAAATCTCCAATTTTAGTAAATATTTTTTGTTATTAAAGCTATGTATTTTATATATTTCATAAAGTGGTAATTTTAAATATTAAAAATATCTTTTAATTTAAAGAAATAAAATTATTTTTTACTGAAATACATTTTTGGTTCTATAATATCTAATAGCATTAGCTTTAGAAATTAATGTAATGTGAAATTTGAAATACTTTGGAAAAAAATTTTTATAAGAGTTTTTAAGTGCTACAATTTTTAATTTTATAAAATTATATTAATATGATAATTATTAAATATTTTATTAATTAATGTTTTTTGTGAATTCAAAACTAGATTGATTTACAGTGATATATCGGATTATATTTACATATATAGCGATTGTCAAATGATTTAGTTTACGTAAGTTGGTACCTATCCGTGGTAATCCACGTTAAAAATTTGCAAAGTTTCAAAACGAGAGTATGTAACTTGATAATACATAGTAATGCAGTGACACAATTATATGTGTAACATAGCATAAATCTAAAATTTAGTTATCTAAAATTTAGTTATCTATTTATCGGATTAATTAATTAATTCTTATTTAATTAATTATTTACTACTAGTATAATTGTAAAATTCTGAAGCTTCCACGATCGAAGTAATTTATTTTATTTTAGATTTCTGTAACAGCACAGTGTTTAGTAACTTATATAATTATACAATTTTATCCACTTCAACGTTTATATTTAAAATTAATTTCAATATTGCAAATGAAAACACTGTACGTATCCCGAGAATTAAATATAAATATATTTAAAAAAATTTAAATAATATTCTATTTATTACAATTTTATATTATTTATATGTATTATATATATTATTTACTTACATTATTTATAATACTCTTATATTTGTCATTACTTTTCAGATCATAATCTAAAAAGCAAGAGAGAATTATGTGATAATTATTATTATGAGAATCGTCCACGGTAGATACTCATTATTAGTCAATTGAGAGTCATATCGAGAACGTTTTATATTATTTAGATAGAGGAATTACTTTTAACAGTAACTATTAACTAGATAAATTCCGATCATTTCGGAAGATATAAAACAACGTCATTGTCAGTTTCGTGATTATTGGTTTATATGTATAATGCAATACAAAAATTTCAACATATTTTCGTTGAAAAGTTGCGAAGCTTGGTATATTTGTTCACAAAATTCAATAAACTGTGAATTCAAGTTTTCGACTCAGTGTCCAAGGAAACCTTTGAATTATCATCAGTTGAAGATAAATTTTTATATACATTTTATATCCAATAAGACTGAGATTATTGTTACGCAATCTTCTTATTCGATATCTACAATTATAATTCTATATCTACAATTATTCTGTACAGCTTCCATGTTCGCAGTACATTGTATTTAATTGACCTTAATTTTTGATCGATAGACTTAATTTGCTGCACTCGCAGCTTTTGACATTCTACACTACGGCTATCAAACACTATTAAAGAACAATATAAGGATAACTTTTAATTGAACATTTGAATGCAATGCCACGATGATACAAAAAAAAAACTAACAAAACAAGTCGTTTTACGATTTAGAAATAAAGCGTCGTTTTTTAATTCACTTCGCATTAAATTTAGAGAACAATTATTTAAAAATTACCTCCTCATCGTTCTCTCATATTGATACAATGTCGTACTATATACTTGTTAAAAGATGCCGTTCCAGAATTACCGAATTATATCTTCCACTATATCTGATATATGGGATCATTAACACACATAGGATATATACAATGCGTACGCTCGCATCGCAACACTTACTAAACATGTATATAGACTAACTACATATACATGAGATACAAGTCCGATCGTATAACCTCGAAATGACATTTTATGGATTTTCAATGCTGACGGCATACTTTTCATTCAGAGCTAAATAAAAAGCTTGGCAAAAATAACTTGTGTATATCAAGTTGTTATAAAAGGAAGATTAATGTTGAAGATCATAGTAGATCTAGTCTTGAAAAAAAATTTTTTCATTGTAGAAATGTTTGAATTGATAAAGTTTTCGGAAAGAAAATTCACTCATTACATGATGTATAAAACATCGTACGAAAAAATGAACAGCGGATTCTGAAAATAGAAGCTTCATACATAGATAGATTGTTATACGACATTTTTTTGGTAAAAATTTAATAGTAAGTCTTTAGTAATCAACTCAACTGTCAGTTTGAATACAATTTTTCAATGAAAATTTAGTGATCCTTTAATTTTGGACGCCAGTATATTTATAGTTTCTGACGAAAACTGAAAAAAATGGAAAATGTTTGCCAAGATAATTCCATTTTTTATATTTTATTGATCACTGATAAAAACATGTAGAAAGTATCAGAAGTATTCAATAGAATTAATCTTTAATCCAATGCTAATAACACAATAATACAATTGTGATTTAAAATCAATAGTAATTGTCGTTAACAATCTTTTAATATAAAGTTAAATGTGATGTGTTATCTATGATATAAAGGATAAAAAAAGAAGCGGTTTGTATATTGAATTTCATCGAACGAACATTTTTTTTTTAATTATCAAAAAGATCACTTTATTTACGAAAACAATAGAAGATATATTTCTAAGAATGCACTATTCGATGTAAATCCCTAGCAAATATAAAAGAAATTATCTGCATGCAACTTTTAAGAATTATTTTTATCACAAGTACTATAATTTTTAGAATACTTTCAAGATAACAATACAAATAATTTTTTTTATATTGTTATTCTATTTGTATTATTGTTATTATTATGATTAAAAGCAATAATAACAATAAATATTTGTCTAATATTAATTTTGCCACATTAAATTTTTTTTTCTTTCGTATTATTAATTAAGAGATAAAGTATGAATTATAATTTATCAATAAAATTCATTTGAAAATAGAATTTGAAATTCTTGGAAGTGCAATGTTATACAACATTGCCATCAGAACAACATTAATCACTGTAACTAACTTGTGATACTTAGAGATCGTGATTAATTATTTATATTTCCAATGCATGAGTTTGATTTTATGTTTAATTGATTTTATGGTTAATTGATCTGAATTGTGGAAATATAATTGTGGAGATAATTGTGGAAACCTTGTCTTTCTTTTATCTTTAAATTCTCATGTGAAATAGCGCTTCTATAACAACTTTTTAAATTAGAGATTCATTGATTCATTAATGGAAATGAAATCGCACTTTTTTAACGACCTCGTATAAATTATGAATTGACGTATTTGTTTACCGAGAGATTGAAACTAAAATTGCATATATTATATATTTAATCTTATAGTTAATTAATTTGCGTATTAACAATAAAGTCATGAATTCTATATACGTATATATTTTTTGTAACGTGCATCAAATTGTCATATACAATAAAGAATTTTTATTATTAACGATTTAAGGCTAAGAAATGCAACAGGCCTGAAAGAAGCCTTTAGTCGATAGAAAAATCTCACTATTGAATTACGAAATTTAAAAAAAAAAGAAATTTAGAAAGTAGAAGTAAAGAAAAAAGAGTTTTTCAAATCATTATTTCATATTGTGAATAGCTGCTTTCGTTTTACTATTAGTTCTAACAATTATCTTTAATTGTTTTCGTGCATATCAAACAAAACAGTTTGGTATGCCATGGGCACCAACTCACATAAAAGAAACCTATAGTAAAACGCAAAATATGGAATATATTCTTATATAATTCGTGGTATCGAACAATAGTATCTGACCACCGGTAACGATACTGATTTGTCAATGATTGGGAATTATTATTTCACTTAACCAATTACTACTTTTCTAATTTTTCTCTTCACGTTTAAACATTACGTTTAAATATTAATATAAATTAGTGCCTTCCAGCACTTAATTTAAATATCACGTTAATGTAAATTAGTGCTTAGTCTTCTAGTGCTTCGTTTAAATATCATGTTAATATAACTTAGTGTCTTCCAGCACTTCGTAAGTAACGGTTGATTATGTCAAGACTAGAAATAATTTAAGTTGGGTGAGTTGAATTTTGGTGAAAATTTGTTAAGTGTTTCGAATGTTTTTTGTTTCTGAAGTCAAAAACGTTAATATATTTTCCCATTGCTTGGACTCAAATTTTAGAAGATTTTTTTAATTCTATTACGTGAACCTCAACGTTTATATTATTTACTGATAAACTCTTTTATAACTAAATAACAATCGGTTTTTCTTTCGCTTACATTATTTTATTGTTTTTATAATTAACATTTCATTCTTGGATGTTAAGAAAATTGTCATTACACTTTTTAGTCAATAATAATCGTTTTCAACGTATATTGCTATAAACAACAAATAAGGTTATGTGATGCATTTGAAAGAAATCATAAATAATGCGGATAATTTCATTTTCCGAAACTTTTCCTAAATATAAAATTTACAAATTATGTTTGATTAATACATATGATTAAGTAATATAACTTCATAATAATACCTTTTTTATTAAGTAATATACGGCTAGAAAATATCTCGTTTTTGATATTTATCCGATTTATAAATATCAAATTTTATTTATTTAATTAAATTTTATTTACTAACATAATACTCTTCTTAATTTTTATTTCAAGTTTATACTTACGATCCAATAAATAAATTTTGAACGTATAATAAAATGACACGTGTATACTATGCACGTATAACTTAGGTAATGCAAAATTTATGCGAATAATAATACGTTTCGTTTATTACTTTTGTATATTCAGATTCAAATTGTTTTATTTATGTAGTTTTATATACAAGAATGTTCGTATATACATCGTGACTTATATATTAGTTGTATTAACAATAATTATCACGTTATATTTATTTATTTTTATATTATTCATATATTGCTTTTATGATTACTTCGTAATTATAAATTGTAAGTATATCTGATACGTTGAACATATTTTTACAATTATATATGACAATTTTTTAAATATATTTTTTAAATAAATAAATGAAAAATGTGTATTTATTTGAGAAAAATATCTATGACTTCGAAAATTTTGAAAAAAACAATCTTTAAAAAAACAGGATAAATGGAATATTGATCATTTAATATCATTCAAATTGCGTGTAAAATATTTTTGCATTCTTACAATTGTAAAAAAGATATTTAGAGGTTGCAGATAGAAAGAGACACCCTGTATGTAAAATAAAAATCTCTAGTTAATATGTCAAGTATTAATTTAGTTAATTTAGTTTTTATTTCAAGATTAAAGATTAAGAAAATTAAAACGTTTTAACATTACTTTTTAGCACTGAATATCTTTAACTTTTTTTTTGCAGGTATCAAAATTAAAAATTTCCAAGAGATACATATGTATATTTTATTTTTTCTAAAGACATATGAGAAAAATTGTGAAAGATGGGATTGCTATCACTGTTGAAGCAATCTAATGTGATTTACATAATATTTGGTGTAACTTTTCTTACATCAGGGCTGATTATCAATTTCTTCCAATGTTTTTTGTACTTTGGTCTAAGACCTTTTTCCAAATATCTTTATCGCAAGATTAATTACTACCTTTGTTATTCTTTATATAGTCGTAAGTTTGTTATTCTTTATATAGTTGTAATTATGATATTTTTGAGATCTAATTCTAGTATTCAAATTAAATAAAAAGAAAATATTTTTTCTAATTGTGTGTAATTGAAATTTTTTTTCAGAGTTTGTATTTGTAGCAGAATGGTGGTCTGGATTAGAGCTTGTACTTTATATGAACAAAGATGATTTAGAGAAATTTAAAAAAGATCATAAATATGTAATAATGAATCACAGGTATGAAATAGATTGGATTTGTGGTTGGATCCTATGTGACCGTACTGGAGTACTTGGTGTTAGTTTCAATATTCTATATAAAAAATCAATTGAGAGAATAACTTACAATTATATTCTAATACTACCAAATTTTGTATATTTCAGAATTGCAAAGCATATGTGAAAAAATCACTGCAGTATGTTCCGACATTTGGTTGGGCATGGAGATTTGCTGAATTTATATTTATGGAAAGAAATTGGGAGAAGGATAAAGAAATAATTACTTCTTTAATTAATGAACTTGTAAATTATCCAGATAGCATAACGGTAAGAATTATAGAATGATAGTAAAATTTGTTTTATAGAAATAATTTGAAATTATTAATTTATGCAGTTACTTCTGTGTGCTGAAGGGACACGAGTTACAGCACAAAAACTAGAAGCCAGTCAAAAATTTGCCCAAAAAGCGGGTCTTCCAGTATTAAATTATCATTTAACACCACGAACAAAGGGTTTTGTAGCAAGTTTACCGCACATGCGAGGGAAAATTACTGATATTTATGACATGCAACTACAGTTTAAATCAGATGATCCTATAAAACCAACATTAACAAACTTACTACAGGGAAAACAGGTCACAGCATACCTGAGTATTTCCAGGATACCATTAGATGAAGTGCCAGAAGACGAGAAAGGTGCTGAAGAATGGTTACATAAACTTTATGAGAAAAAAGTACGATTTTATTTAAAATTAATAAAATTAGCTACGAAATTGTTCGTATTTTTTTTCTTTTTTTCTTTTTTTCGTAGGATCGTATGGCAAAAAGTTTTGAGGAAACAGGTGATTTCTTTGCAATTAGTGGGGTACCCAAATTAGAAAGGTCTATAATAAAAAGACGATATTATTCACTTGTTAATATAATTTGCTGGGCAGTGGTGGTGATAACACCAATACTTTATTATTTGATCAATCTTCTCTTGTCTGGATCGATAATTTATTTCTTAATAGGAGCAAGCAGTATCCTCTTAAGCAAGTATTTTAATGCGATATATAGTTTTATATTTCTTATATTTATATCCTTTTAAGCAAGTATTTTAATACGATATATAGTTTTATATTTCTTATATTTATCGCTATATAAAGACTAATATTTTTAATTTCAACATTACAGTTTATCTGCTTATGCAAAGAATGATTGGAATGTCTAAAATAAGTAAAAGTTCATCATATGGAACTAATGATAAGAAACTTCAGTAAAACGACGAAGTTATAAAGGGAATACAAGTAAAAAGTTAAACTATCTTCTTCGCGTAATGTATTTCGCTGTATGTGTACAAATCTCTATGAAGTATTCAGAGAAGATTACGGTAATATATGAGCTCTATTATCGTACTTTTATTTGTGTTAAATGATTACAATGAATATCAACGTTACAGGTATACAATACGGTAACGTCAGGTATCTTGGAAAAATATCTTTTTTGTTCAAAAATATTTGAGTATTTGAAAAGATTAAAAGATATTTTTTTAGTATTGTAGGAATTTAATCTTCTTATTAAAAGTTTAATAGAAAATGTTAAATTTGATCAATTTAAGATACCTTATAAAAATAATTATTCTAAAAAATCTTTAAGAACATTTCATAAAAGATTAAATTTTTAAAATACTACTTTAAAACTATTTATTTAGTTTATTTCAGTACTTTAATATATAATTGTTCAACTGTGCACAAAATATTAATTCAAGATTATATACAAATAAAAATATATAAATATTAATTGTTAATTAATATTTATAAGAAGAAAGAGAATTTTTTGAAAGTACACATTTTACATTAAGAATTTTATTTAAACGGTTTTGAAAAGAAATATATATTGATTAAGTAGACAGTGGATATTTATGCAGATGTATACATGTTAAGATCCGTTAAATATGTAAAAAACATATAAATATGTATAAAATGTATACATAAGATATGCAATACATAAATATGCATAATATACAAAGATATGCAACTCATTTACGTGCAACTCAATTCACGTGGAGAACATCTAAACAATTTCCTTGGTTTGTTTCTGTTAACAAAATAAGTTTTTGTTTGTACATTCTGCTTCCGTATTTATTTTTTATAAAAATATACATTTGCCTAAATATCTGAAGTTTAGTTATTAGTATGGTGTTACAGTTAAAATCCAAATTGTAGTACGATCTTATATTTAATGCTAGTTCTAAAATGTCTTTTTTCAATACTAGTTTTGATTAATTATTTCGTACGTTATTAATCAAAATTGATATTGAAACAAGCGTTAATGTTAATATAAGCGATTTAAAGTTTTGAAAATATTATTTAAGATAAAATAGTACATATTTAGTTTTGCCTAAAATCAAATTTTAATGATGTTTCGTTAATATTGATTTAAATCAAAATGAACGTTAACGTTCAAAATGAACGTTAAAATAAAATTTTGTAAGTAATTCCTATATTGTTAAGAGAAACATTGATATAATGAAGGATATTTGAGAAAACTAGTTTTGATTAAATAAGAAAAATAGTTTCGGCGG